CCGGGGACCCAGTTGTTGACCCCGGGACCCAGTTGTTGACCCCGGGGACCCAGTTGTTGACCCCGGGGACCCAGTTGTTGACCCCGGGGACCCAGTTGTTGACCCCGGGGACCCAGTTGTTGACCCCGGGACCCAGTTGTTGACCCCGGGACCCAGTTGTTGACCCCGGGACCCAGTTGTTGACCCCGGGACCCAGTTGTTGACCCCGGGACCCAGTTGTTGACCCCGGGACCCAGTTGTTGACCCCGGGACCCAGTTGTTGACCCCAGGACCCAGTTGTTGACCCCGGGACCCAGTTGTTGAAAAGAGGATAATAGACCCACCGCCGCCCTACCCCTTCCGTCTCCCAAACAGAATGTCGTACAAAACGACAACTTAGCATTTCAACTTCTTCTTCTTAGCGTTCGGTTTCGTATGCTCAGGTCAGACCATCAGGTGGATTGCTTCTATGAACTCGCACTGTCATCCAGACAGCTTGCTCTGTTAGTTTGTTTTCTCCCCGATTCCTTGATACGTGTTTTGATATCTGGAAATGTCAGTGAACTTAGCATTTAAATAAAATCGGGTGTGTTGGGCTGAAATGCACAGAAATTGCAGCCTAACTGTCAACCAAAACACAGCAACCAAACCGTCCTTTTAAGTACATCGGCGAAACACCAAAGAAGAAGAAACTGACCAAGGTCTGTTTGGTGCTGTATGTGTTTGTGTGTTTGTGCCCTCTGCACTAGCTTCTCGTTTTTGCGCTCCAGGAACATGTATACAATACCTTTACCATTCCCAGAACAACTTCTTTTCGTTGCCCATGGCGTATGGTGCTGGTAGGTATGTTTATACACAACCGTCTGCCTAGTGTCCTTTCAGTTATTTCTGACACAGTGATTGTCCAAGCCATGATGCCAAACTGTCTAGCATCTTTCTCTCAGTGTTCTTCTGCCTCTAGTTTCTCCAGCTTTCCCACCGTCACGATGTTCTCCAGTTTTCGCCTTCATGTGACATGACCGGACAATGTAGATTGTTTCCTCCCGACATGACAGAACAATGTAGATTGTTTCCTCCCGACATGACAGAACAATGTAGATTGTTTCCTCCCGACATGACAGAACAATGTAGATTGTTTCCTCCCGTCATGACCAAAGAATATAGATTGTTTCCTTCTGACATCCTTCTGACATGACCAAAGAATGTAGAATTTTTCCTTCTGACATGACCAAAAAATGTAGAATTTTTCCTTCTGACATGACCAAAGAATGTAGAATTTTTCCTTCTGAAGTGACCAAAGAATGTAGATTGTTTCCTTCTGATATGACCAAAAAATGTAGAAATGTTTCCTTCTGATATGACCAAAGAATATAGATTGTTTCCGTCTGACATGACCAAAGAATGTAGATTGAGTCCTTCTGACATGACCAAAGAATGTAGATTGTTTCCTTCTGACATGACCAAAGAATGTAGATTGTTTCCTCCCGACACAACCAAAGAATGTAGATTGATTCCTTCTGACATGGGCACTTAGCTCTCTTCTCTTAAGACGTCTTCATTACTGTAAATTTCCAGGGTATTCTCACTCTCTTTCTCCCTCTCTCTCTCCCTCTCTCTTTCTTCCTCTCTCTCCCTCTCTCTTTCTCCCTCTCTCTTCTCCCTCTCTCTTTCTCCCTCTCTCTCTCTCTCTTCTCCCTCTCTCTCCCTTTCTCTTTCTCCCCCTCTCTCTCTCTCCCTCTCTCTCTTTCTTGTTGTACCCCACCAGGATATCCCACAAGCGATAAACACCCGGTGACACAAAGTGCTACCACGTGGATGAGGATCACCTCTGGAGAGGTCCCAGAGACCCCTTTCAGCCGTTTACCACATTTATGGCCCGGCTATATTCAGGGCCCACGGCAAAAGCCAGGTTGGGGCTTCAAAAAAAAAAAAAAAAAACGAAAAATTGCATCCCACATAGGGGCGACTAATGCTAATAATAGTCTAAAGTATTCTCATCATTCGTCTATTAAACAACATCTATGCCCTTTCCAAATAATTGTTCACCGATCGTCCAAATGGTTTACTTCCGTATATCATGGTAGGTTTTATATAGCTCTCGATAATTCTCTTTCTATCGCAGTTGACAAAAAAGAAAAAAGTTTTTTTTTTTTAAAATATTCTTCATTTTGTAAAATTATGTCTTCGTTAAAAACTACAGCTCAAATATTGTCATGTCACTCCACTTCTAGGTTTACTACGAGAGAGTTGACTCCAGTACTGCTGGAGCGGCCTTCAACTTCACCCAATGTGGGGTCAGGGACATTTCAAGACCTCTGGCAGATTTAGATTTGTACCCCGCAGTCAGAATCCGAATCAGCAAAGGCTTTTCTTTCGCGAACGTCGACACGGAGTGTCAGTTTGAGGAGCAACGTGCACAGTTCTTCCAGGAGTACGACACCAAAGATGACTATATGGAAGGTCGAGAAGGAATGGACCTCATGAACGTCGACTTCAAGGAATATATGATCGCATTTAGAGACCCCACACATCTTCCATGGTATGTTTCCCGAGTTGCTTTCTGGCTGGCATCCGTTTTTCTTCTGTCGTGGCCACTGAGAACTATCACCGAGCTTAAAACCGCACATCTTCACTACCACGTTCATAAACTGTTTGGATCCAATTATGTGGAAGGTGAGGATTACAATGGGTTAATGAGTCGGGCAAGCACCATGAACAGCACCGAGTTTGAAATCAGTATACGTAACAATAATGTTATAGTTCCTAGCTATTCAGAAGCCGTGCTGGCAGACGGGCAAGAACCAATACAGCAAAAGCATTACGGGGCTATCAAAACGTATACGACTAAATTTCCGCGCAGTTTGACTAATGTCACGTTGGCGGCTAGACCATCTTCTGCTGGTCGGAGGTCTCTCACGCCCTCCGTAATGATGGATCGGGTAAAAAAATTTAAAAGCTGCAGCGCATTTGGAATTACGGAATCCACAGACACCTGCACACATCAAGGATCTGTCCGTCAACAGATCCAGCAATTACTCCGAGATCGTGGCAGGTTCCAGAGCAAGAGAAAAACCACGTCCCAGTTTAATATATCCAGTTTGTCGTTAGCCAACGGAAATGTTAGATTCCACTTAGGAACGCCGGGAACGCCCGAAGATTTTGTAGTATCGCCTAGCTTTTCATCGTATTCTGTGGTCTCTTCTAGAATAAACGACATCCGCCATGGCGTTTTGGAAAACGATAATGAGACTAATTTACAAAGTGTTCTTCAGTGTGAACACCAAGTAAAACAAAATGACCACCAAATGAGGCCCACACAACTGGTCTCTACACATCCACTACCATTGGACATCAATCATTCCACACAACTGGTCTCTAGACATCCACTACCATTGGACATCAATCATTCCACACAACTGGTCTCTAGACATCCACTACCATTGGACATCAATCATTCCACACAACTGGTCTCTAACAATCCATCACCACTGGACATCAATCATTTCGCACAACTGGTCTCTAGACATCCACTACCATTGGACATTAATCATTTCGCACAACTGGTCTCTAACCATCCCCCACCACTGAACATCAATCATTCGCACAAAACTGGTCTCTAACAATCCCCCACCACTGGACATCAATCATTTCGCACAACTGATCTCTAACCATCCCCCACCACTGGACATTAATCATACCACTCAACTGAACGGTAATTCTTCTGTACTTGCGAATGTTACAAACAGTTCACAGAATGTGTTTATGCCACATATACATGACATGGAAATACCAGAATCGTTTCCATCACCAAATAATTTTGTTTCAAAGGAAATACCAGTGACCGGGAATCGATATTCCGACCACGTCTGGGCACATTTTCTGCCATCCCAACATCCAATTACTGACCCGGCAAATATTAATGTAGCTACAACTACCACCGCATCTTCCACCCCATCATCCCCACCAGACTACGAAGAAGCTGTAACAATGAGACGACTGACATCACCAACTATCACACTGGACACCGAACTTCAATTGACTGGACACTTACAATCAACTTCGAGGTCAGAAATACCGGCTATGTTGTCCAGCAACGACCAAAATAATCCGGATTCGATTCCAGCCGTCTCGTTCAAAGTCGGAATGAATACTTGTGACCCGTTTCAGGTATTTTCTGCTTCAGGTAATAACAATCATATCGAGAACACGACATCTGTTCCAACTTCAGTCGTAGAATTTCCAGGAGTCGGTCATCAACGTTATTCGCACCATCACCAACATCAGCTCAGTCAACATCATCAGCATCACCCGCAACAACTGGTACTAAAGACACTTCCCAAAGTAAGCAATGCGGTTTGCGCTGAGTCCGAAGATTCCGACTTGGGATGTTTGCATAGCATCGTTTCGGAACTGGGCGAGTTGGAAAATATACTGCCAAGAAATGGATATTTACAGAGCTCAAATGTACATCCGCTGCCGACGGGAGGCGGATCAATGTCTGGCACGTCCGAGGCTCGCGCTGGCCAGCGCACCGGAAACGGCCAGTTTACTGAAGGGTCAGTGTTAGTGGGTAATCGACGGAACAATTCATCTTCCGGTGTAGCGACAGGCAGAGTCGGTCGTGCTGCGAGAGGGAGCTTGGCGGGGGTTGAAGGACGCCGCAGGGAAACTTCCGTTTGACAAAACATGGCGGATAACTAGCGTTTATCATAATTTATCTTCTTAACAAGTTTCCCTCTAACACGCTTGTTCGAATGCACGAGTGTGATGTATGTGTGATGTGTGTGTGTGTGTGTGTGTGCGTGTTAAATCATGGCAGTTATGAGAGTTATGTGCAAAAGTGTATAAGTGTTTGGGGGGGGGGGGGATATGTGTGCGCTAACCTGTGTGCGGCAAGAGTGTGCTCAATATAACAGGTAAATTTGAGTATAATCAGGTGTGCGCGATGGTGTGATGGAAGTATACGCGGGATTTCAGATACAGCGTGTGGGGAGGGGGCACAGAGAGAGAGAGAGACAGACAGACAGACAGACAGACAGACAGACAGACAGACAGACAGAGGGCAGGCATATAGGTAAGTTAGTATGTTGGTGGATTATTGGATGGGCCCGTGGGTTAGTGGGTACATAGGTAGATTGACTACAACCACAGTTACTACTATTACTTTAACTACCTGCACTAGTGTTACAAAAACTACTACTTAGAATTATAATATTAAATTTTTTGTATTATTACCAGTACAGTAATATAATTACTAAAATTAGGACATGTTTTCATTCTTGAAAGAAACTAGGATGATAGAAATCAAAACAAGGAAAAATTGAAACGTCGGTAGACAAACATCATTCTCAGTCAAAAAAATGACGATATAAAACAACTACGTAATGAATATTTAAAACAAAACATGATTATGTAAAACAAATGCGAAATGATGTTATAAAACAAACAATAATTAGATAAAACAAATCATGATGATATAAAACAAATAATAATAGTATCAGACAAATGTTATTGCTGTCGTTATTTGTAAAAATAAATGCAACCCAGCAAGTTAAAGTCAAACAATAAATGTGCGAGTCAGTGCGAGCGTGAAGAATTCAATAACTTAGTGAATTAAAAGTGGTTGCATGTGCTTTATGCAAGTTGCAGAACCAACCCAAGCATTTTTTGACTGTTTTGTATGCGTATGTTTGATTTTTTTAAAAGGTAAATTTACATTCAGTAGTTTGCCATTAGTTTATAAACGACCCGCTCTCGATACCACTGTCTGAACCAACGCAAGGCGGTTTGCTGCCAAAATCACATGCAACTGAGGTCGAACCGGAAGGCATCCTTACATGCAAGTTTCTATAATAAATAAATTGTTTACTGGCTGGGGCAGCTGGCCCCAAACCCAACCCTCCTCCTTTCTTAACCGGGCTTTGGGCCTGTAGTGGTGGAGATAAATGCATTCGAAAACAAACGTCTTAAAAAAATGATGAAAATACAATAGGACAAATTCATAAAGAGTGAAGGAAAAGAGAAAAGTCTGGACAATCAATTAGTATCACGGTTATAAGACAGAAGATGGCGCTACATTGGACACATCGTGAGAATGAACTTTCATAAAATTACAAACAAGGCATTACAATGGAAAATAAAGGGAATTAAGGAGGCGAGGACGGCCAAAAGAAACTCTAAGAGGAATGTTGATGAGAGAGGCCAAAGCTGCTGGACTTGATTCCATTCACGATTTTGAACTGATTGCACATGATTGAACGGAATGGAGGACCGAACGAATGAGCAAACGTTTCTAACACAGGTTTCGGATACACAAAGCGCTACATTAACATCTATTCCATTTCTCTGTTTGGTTTTTATTTTTGACTTCTTCTTCTTCTTCTTTTCTTCTTCTTCTTCTTCTTCTTCTTCTTCTTCTTCTTCTTCTTCTTCTTCTTCTTCTTCTTCTTCTTCTTCTTCTTCTTCTTCTTCTTCTTCTTCTTCTTCTTCTTCTTCTTCTTCTTCTTCTTCTTCTTCTTCTTCTTCTTCTTCTTCTTCTTCTTCTTCTTCTTCTTCTTCCTCTTCTTCAGCATTCCAAACTCTTATGTTCATTGCTGCAGATATCACCCGCTTCCACTCATCTCTCTGGTTGGTCTTCTGTCTCCAGCTGGTGACATCAAGTGTTTGTAGGTCTCTCTGGATATTATCTCTCCATTGTCTTCTTGGTCTGCCTCGTGGTCTACGACCATTCAGCTCAAATGTGTACAGTTTTTACTTCTCTGTCATCTGACCTTCTCTCAATATGTCCCAAGCATTTCGGTCTATTAGCTCTCATGATGCCAGTAATCAGTGGTGATTTAAACAGACTATGAATTTCGTTGCAGAGCCGGTGTGGTCTAGCGGCAAGACGCTCGCCTGAGAAACGGAAGATCGTTGGTTCGGTTCCTGACGGAGACCGGACTTTTTTTCATAAAATGACTTTGATTCCCAGGCCGACCCTGTCTTCAGTGGGTACCGGGTGCAATAATGGGAAGTAAAGGCGGTCGGTGTGATGCTGACCACATCACCCACCAAGTACTGTTTAGTGTATAAAATATAGGTCTAGCTCTATACACCCAATATGCGTGAAAAGCGTGGAAATTTGTCCTTTTTTTTTTTTCCTTTTTCTGAATTTCGTCATTGCTTCTTACTCTCCATTTTCCGCTGTTTGCATCTTTGATATGTCCAACGGTTCATCGTAACACTCAGTTTTCGAAAATGTGTAATAAGGCTTCATCTCTTTTAGTTGTGCTCTTTTAGTTATTGTTGACATGCCTGAGTAAACCCTGCGGCTTCCGTGGCTTAGGCGTTGGGAGTCCGACTCGTAATTCCAACGTACCGCAGTCGAAACCCACTGCTGGCTGCGTGGTATAGTATGGGGCGTCGCAGGTCGACTCAGCCTTAAAACATTGGTACCAGGATATATGTCCTGGGGAAGTAAAGACGGCTGACCACGTTACTCACCTAGTGCCGATTGGTCTGTAAAAATACGGGTGCTCTTCAGTATGCCCGGTGTGCCTAAACGCATGAAAGGGGATCTTTTTTTTTACTTACTCTTTCGAAAACCATTTCACAGAGACAGAAAAGCCTTGAAATGGTAATCCTACAGAACAATCCGGACCCTACTATACGCTAAGGACTAAACATAATTTATACGGCGATCCACCTTGTCTTTTCCGTGGCCCACCCTTGGGCTGTGGGCCAAAAGTTGAAAAACACTGTTCTGGAAAGACTTTGAAATACTATAGAGTTGCTGACCGAGATTTTTTAAAAAATAGGGGTGGGGGAGACAAATGAAATAGCATACAGCGATACAAGTGGGAGGATAACACAAAGAGATAGAAACCGCAGCTAGCGAGATTATACATCCTAGGCAAAAGAAAAGGCCTAAAGGAGATCCATTGCAGCCAACTTTCTTTGTGGAGGCGGCACCTGATTGAATGACTGATTGTGTGAATTAGGAAGCGAGTAAGTGTCTGAATGAACCAACAACATGAGACACTGTGCCATTTGCAGAAGATTCAAACCCCTGGCTCTGATGCACTCTATTCTCCATCCGCTAGCCTCCCCCAACCCCACTGAAAACATTCCATCTGAAAGCAACTGCGTGGATTTCTGTTGCTTTTGTTTTTCTTCTTCTTCTTCTCCTTCAACGGATGTAACCTTCGGCAGAAAGTTCTGGTTGTTTGTCCACCTCAGGACTTTATTATTGTTCCAGTACTTAAATGTTGTGTGCACTTCCGTTTTACAGATCTAGCTTATTTATATGCAGACTTTTAATTCCTTGCCTCTTAGGCAGATGCGCTCTGACTTCGAAAGAAACCTGTAGTTAGTTGACTCTTACGACATGCTTGTATGGAAGGCAGTGGGTCTGTTCTTGTTTTTTCCCCACAATGGAGCCAAGGATCCATCTAGAGCAATGGTTAGGGAATACGGAGAGAATGGCAGATATCAGAGCAGTAACAGCTGTGTAACAACAATGATGCAGACCAAAGAGATGGTGGAGAGTTAATATACCAAGAAATCTACAAGCATCTGGAGTCACCAACTGGAAATAGAAGACCAACCACAGAGATTATTGGAGGTATGATATCTAACCGAT